ATTATTATTATTATTATTATTATTATTATTGTTATTATTATTATTGTTGTTGTTATTATCATTATTATTGTCACAATCTTTTTACTGGTTTTTCAAGTTCAAAACTATAAGCAACAATAACAATTTAGTAGAAGAAATAACTGAAATGTTTGAGATATATTGATGATCAAACCAGTTTAAAAGAAATAGATTTTTCCAATACAAGGTTAAAATGCATAGGTATTTATTAGGAGTAAAAATTTGCGAGATGAAGAACAATTTTTCAATATTGTATTAAGCAACTTCATTTACTTTTTTAAGATATAAATGTAATGAAAAAAATAACTTCTATAATTCATCAACAGCCAGTACCCAAAACGTTTTTCTCAAATAGTATGATTTTATAGAAATGAAGCTGAAATTTATTGCATTGTTTTATTCAAAATAAGAAATGTTTAGAAACAAGCCTATCGAAATATTATTTTTTCAACAGTGATAATCGTCAAAATGACCTATAATAAAACTTTTATCTATAAATGTATGGACATACCAGTATTACAGTAATATTTCGAATCTCATTTGTTTGCTCAGTTTTCTCAAACAAAATTAAACTTATCTCAAATGAATCTGAAAATTCTCAATAACAGATGAAAACTGTGAACTCTTCAATAACTCTATATTTTGGAGTAGAAAAATGACTTATCATGCTATTTCAGAACTGATTTGCGTTTAATTTGTGATTATTTTAATGATTGGCAAAGAAAAATTAGTTGTTATAATTTTGAAGCAAGTAAAATATCTCACTTATGAATTATATAATCAAAGTAGTCAAACAACTAATAGCCTGTGAAATCTTGTTTTCTATTTATGATATTCTCGGGCACATATCTTTAATGCATCTATTTATAAATGTATAATGTACTTTTTTTCTAAATTCTGCCACCAGCTGTTTCATTTCCTCTTGAAACTGGAAAGCCCTGTTTCAGCATAAATTTCAAATTGTTATACATTCCATCCACTTTACTCTTCTTAAATACACTTTCTGCAGCAATACAGACATTAACATGATACAATTTGTAATTGATACAATGTGATTATCAGAAAGCAAGTTCCAGCATATTCACTTAAATACAACCATCTTGAAACGGACAACTCTCAGAACACAACCATATCAAATTATGAATTGCAAAGGGTATTTGAAAGTAAAGTAATTGTGCATTATAAGTCCATAATCGAAGTCTCCTTTTTACCTCTTTAAAGAAGAGCATTATTTTGAATTCTACTTTATTACATCTAAATTTTATTATTCATACTGCTGTGAATAGCTTTTTCAAATTCATCTTGAAAGTAAGTTTTGAGATTCCACATATTATTCTTAATAAAGTTTCTCTGTACTTTCTGTAACAAAAGTGAAGACTGATTAGTCAATAGACGGCTCTTTTATGACACAAAGTTTTGAAAATCGTTTTTATTGAAAATGTAATTATCATGATTTATAAAATACTTGAATTACTTTGTAAAGACAAAATATTCTTGTGCCCATTCTAGAACTATTATTTTACAGTACATATATACAATACAGATAGTAAGTTGAAAAAAATAATTTATATTTTTACTTTAATTTTCAAGAAAATTTTCATTAAATTGATGTACTATTACAGCCAATGCCTTCTGTACCTAGATTTTTCCAAAGTAGGCAACTCACTGCATTTCAAACGTCGGATTGTAATTTCATAGATAATCCTGCAATATTAGATCAGATTACGATCAACTATTTAATAATTATACTATTCATTTACTTTATATTCTAGATTACAATTTTTAGCATTTTTTTTTTGCCATAATAAAATCACTAACGATGCATTGGAGCGACGTATCATCTTGAAATTTGTGATAATATCAAATGAGATGACTGTGTCGCTTTCTTCATCAATTTGTTCTTCACCTTCGAAATATTGTCCAGGCTTAATAAATGTGTGATAAAGTGGAGTAGAATAATTAGTTAAACCTTCAAACGTACAACACTGCACATACAACCTGAAGGAGAATTTTTTAACTTTTTTTTGAAAAATTTGTAAAGTAAACTTAGTGTATAGAGCAATTTATATGAATTCAAAAACTTGAAGATTGTAAGTACAAAATTTTTTGTAAATATTTATGTTTTACGAAATAAAAATAACGTATAAAAAATCATTATCATTTTTTGATCTTGGATATGAATGTAAAAGATGATTGAGCCTTATTTAAAAAATTTAAGAATATAAAAAAGCGAAACTAACGGTTGGTGATCTCCATAACTCTTTTCAAATCCCCCAACCCAACTATCATTTAATTCACATGATTCACGCATTGCACGATCATCACAGTCCTGTAATAATGATTATTAAACCTATTACTTTATTAATTTAAAATTGTTATTATTTCAGGATTGTATTGAAATAACATGAGTTTTCAAATTTATTTTTTAGAAACAACAAATTCAAATGAAAAGACGGCCAAAATCATTTCTAATCGAAGTATTAATGAAGTTCTGCAAAGACTTTGAAAATTCAAAAATTATCTTTGTATTTGAAAAAAAATAATAGGGTTCTAATGATGAATGAATGCAATAAATATGTAAGCACACACACTCGTGTCTTTTATCAAATGTGACAAATCTGACATGCTGATGCAAGTCAGATTTGATATTCTCTCAAGTTTGATTTCGACAAATTTAAATAGCAAGTGGTTCCAACGCATTTTAAACAAAATATGTTTACTGATAATTTAAAAGTAAACAAAACTAATAATGTTACAAATGACAAACGGACCGCATATCGATGCTGGAAGCAAGATGGACGCGAGCAATGCAAAAGTGGTTGAGCATTTGGATAAACTTCAATTCCACATGGTATTTTATTCTCTCCACAATATTCTGTTTTACATGGAGATGCCCATGAGATGGATAATAAAATTAATATGAACATCTGAAGGATCAGTTATTTAAAGCATATTCTATTTGCAGTTTCAAATTTGCTACGAGTACTAATCACTCTTAATGAAAGCATTGCCGGCTTTTAAAGATATTAATAGATTAATTTGATTATAAAAACTTTTGAAGAATAAATAAAAATTGATTAAATATGATGAGAGTTTCAGCATAATTTAATTATAATAAAAAATTTGATCAGACTTAGAAAGTTTTCGTCTAAAAATTATCCAATTCATCATGATTCTTGCATCATGAAGGAATTATTAAAAGCAATGTTTTGATAATTATTCTCATGAATAAAAATTCATTAAATTAGAAAACTTTATAGCAGAAACTTTATAGTTTATACGGAAATGATAAAATGACAAAATGATAAATGGCACCAATGCAAAAAAGATGCATTAAAAAACAAGAAATAAACACACCATGATCACTTCATACTTCCATCATTTTGCTTAAATAGTGAATAACAAATTGACGGATATTGTGCTGCAAGTATAAACAATATATTATGAAATATATTGTGATCACATTTTATTATTATAAAATCATGCAGAATTTTTGCAATTTTTGCAGCACTTTATGCTCAGAATATGAACTTGGAATAAGTGGAGACGCAGTCGAATTAAATGATTGTGTGATAGTTCTTGATGACCTAAAATTTCGCATCTGACAGAATTATTGGGAAATTTCATAATTTATGTTTTAACAAATGAGCAAAAAATTAAGAAAAATTAATTAATAGTTATGAAGTATTCAAAGAGTATAAAAAGTATAATGTAAAATATAAAGCTCTCATTAACACAATGATATTTTTTACCGGTTTTAATGTAGTTATGTCAATGAAAAATCAATTTAGTCATATTCGTGATGTGTCACAAATAATTAATGATTGGATTTTTTAAGTAGTGACAATTTAAAGAATTTAATTTAGAATTAATATTTACTGCTAGCAATAGCAAACTTAGGCATTTGTTATTCAAATTTTATTGTCAGTAAAATAAATAGAAAGTAATAAATTAATTATGAGCTTAAATATATAGAAACTCCAATACCTAAATATCACAATTTCATATCGTTCAAGAGTTGAGAGTAAATAATTTAAATAATGACGTTTCACTTACAAAATTAAATGACAGCAAAATTACAATGACGCAGTTGCATACTTAATTATACTAATAAAATTGCTTAATGCTGAATTAGTTGACAAATTGCTTGTTCGTTTTTTGCATACTCTTTTTATAATTTATTAGAGCTTTACGTGTAGAAAATATTTTTTTAAATAATTTAAATAACAAAAAAGCAAATCTTTATGCTTAAACCACCATGACTGCAAGTGTATGTGAAGATCTCATCATAAATGATTCGAGTGCTTGGCAATGACAAAAGGCTTTTTTGCTCTCATTTTTAAAAAATTTACTTACAGATAGACAGACAGAGTACATCAGAAGTATATCAGAAATGAGTGAAGTGCTGTAATAAAGAATGGAGTGAATAAAGAATTATTGAATAAAAAGAAATTTTTAATACATGAATTATGATTGATGAAAATTGATACTATAAAATTTTCAAAAATAATTAATCAAAGCATTAAATGTTATTTTTGATTGTTAAAAAAAGTACGAATAAGTCAATAAACAATAAAAGTTATAATAATAATGATATAAGGTTACAGCTTTGATAAAAGCTGTAATCTTATATCATTATTAATACACTCAGTATGAAATGCTTAAATTGGAAAACAAGCAAAGAGGTGAGGTTTGATAGGAAGCAAAGAAGCCGAAATTAATCAATGCCAAATAGAAATAAATTGAATGATCAAATGATAGAAAGATTGCTGATCAATGAACAGTAATCAATCATGCATGGAATTTATTATTCATATCTATCTTTATTTGTGCATGTATGCAGATAAATTGATTTTATATTTGTGCGAATTAATCACGAAAAATAAACGCAAAAATTATAACTGCATTAGTTTTAATTATTAAAAAATTTTCCAACAAATATTACCATAACAAGACTATAATAACTAAAAAGTTAGAGTAAACAATTGCTTACCATATTGATAAATATATTTTTTATCATGATATTTAAGAAATACGACAAGGGAAAGCAAATAATGGTTTTATACCAATACTTACTTCCTGCTTTCACGTTCTTACATTTACACATTTACTGCACTTAAAACTATCTCTTTCTATTAAAAAAAAGCAGCTGAAAATAGGCGCAGATGGTATGACATGTAATGACATTTTGAAGAAGATGAATGAAAAAAAGTAATAGATAAATGTTTCAGAAAAGTCAATCATTTCATACCACTTTTCGCTCAATTTTTGGTTCTCATCTTCAGTAAGTGTCTTTAATGCCGAAGAAAATTTGAAATTTTGCAATTGGAGCGAACAGAAAATACACATGGTGTCTGTGAAAGTATTTGAATGCGTATGTATGTAGTGCTTATACAAATGTATGGATGTGTATATTATATGTTGATTAATGAAAATCGTCCATTATCAACCCTTGTCAGCGATGGTGTCTGCTGGAATTGCATATCATTTGATTTGGTAGATTAAAAAGTTTTGCAAAAGTGGGAGTTAATTATTTCACACTCGCCATTTATTTCCAATTCTGCAGCTGCAATCAAAATTTTCATGCGCCAATGACAGTTTCCTTTTTCACTTGTTTTCACTACTTATTTTAAGAAGATAAAAAATAGATTATCAGGCCATATATTTTGGTAATTGCTATGACAGAAAGAGTAGAACGTAATGGATTTTGAATAGTTTGAGGTCAAATTTGCTGAAGTATAAGGTTAACATGTTTGTATTTGAATATCTAATAGTCTATATAAGTATTCATTCAGTAACATTAAGCATTTTCTGGCGATGTCGATATTTTGCTTTATCATGATCTTTCATTGCTTATCTCCTTCATACTGCATTATAAAACATAATTTCTATAGAATGACTGCAGAGTAGACATTTAAATAAATTTTCCCAAATTTTCTCAACATTTCGCTTTATAATCCCGAGTATAGGTAAAAGTTTTTGGCTTCTTACTGACCAAATCTTCGTATTTCAACTGCAATCTTTCACTGGTAGCTCCAGTCAAGAAATATACTTTACAGTTTTTTCTTTTTTTTTAATTAATTTTTTTGATAATACCACAAAAAAACTGCTGTTAGCAATTGGCAATTTCTTCCTGAAAGAACACTGTGTACATGCTCTAGTGCAGTTAAAAGATAAGAATATAATCAATAATTTTTTTAAATGTTAATTTCAAATATTTAACATTTAGTATTGCTTCCAGAGATAAAGACATGATGCGCTTTGTAGATAGAAGGTTCTATATAATTGTTTCCTTATTTGTTCATTTTTATTTCTTTGTTTACTTTCAGTTCTACACTTGTCAACAAGTTTATAACAGTGACAAAGGCTGTAAAATGTATTGAAGCGTAATAAAGGCTTATCAAGTCATTTACGTATTACGATTGTAATCAATAAAAAACGAAATTGACTATCACTACATCCAAACGACAATTACTTATTCGAAATTATTAGTAAATATTATTGGTATTGTGAGTGAGTAAAGTGGTACCTAAAAATACACATTTAACGTTTCAGGTATATTGAGCACAAGATAGTACTTTAACAATACTTGAAAAGTCTTTCTGTTTCAATTTTATACAGCCACATGCTATTTTCAAAAAAACAAAGCTAAAGATTTTTTCATTTTCACCAAAATAACTTGCGTCTTTCTTGTGTAAGAGATACTATTTGAATCATTTGAAGTTCAAAAATAATTCTTTCATCTTGCAATTAAGATAAAGTGAAGTTGTCAATAAAATCACAATTTTTTAATCATAAGTAAGACGTAATCTTGAGGTTACTCTTTAATAGTTATTGAATTCATTAAAGTTTCGTAAAAAATTGCCAAAATGCGATACAGCTGATAGGTTATTAAGTTGTATTATGGAAGCTTTTTTGAGGATTAAATGAATCAATCCGATTTCGTAATAAACTTAAATTTTCGCTTAGTTTTTTCAGTAAACTTTAATTAGTATAATGGAACCGTAAAGTCTTAGAATGTAAGCTTTTACAAATTTAGTCAGTTTTTCATATTGCTTGATTATATTTTAATACTCCTAGATTTTAATCCCAATATTTCAGTGATGATGTAAATAAAGTCATCTTGAAAGCTGCTGCTGCTGCTGTTGCTTTGTATTCTTAATTACATTTGATTTGTTCATGATTTCTATTATCTGAAATAATTTTGCTTTCACTATCATCTATGAATATTTCATCGTTTTTTGATCCACTGATGAAATAAGCAGCAAAAATTCGTAAATTTCACTCTTTATATTCTTCAAATTGTAGGCGACTAAGGACAAGCTGATAATGAAATTCAGAAAAGGCCTAGTGTGTACATAAGTACTAATCTCGCAACATTCACAAACATAGCTGCATCGTCGAGTACATAAATGACTTAAGTAAGGAATATGACAATAAGTCTTTTTCAGATCACATTTGACATAGTCAAGAAGCTAGAAGCAATCATTATGAACTCACTTTAAAAGCTGAAGTGATAATTATGAGGTAATGCAAAAGTTATTCAAGGACATGCAAGACTCGTACAAATTTAGAGCCAACTAAAGTTAGTGATAGGTGGAGCGACTGAAATGGGGAAAAATGGGTGTGGTATGATAATAAAGTTAATGGATGGATGAGATAGACTGGAAGTAGAAATGGGACTTCTCGATTAATAAGCAAAAGGAATTTTTAAATAGCATTTCTAGAGAACAGATGATCAATGCTTAAATCGTTAATTCTCTTATTATTAGATTGATTGTTTAGGTAAAAATTTACTGCAGGGTCAATTTCGTGAGGAGAATAATTGTTTGATGAGACACCGCCAAATTGAAGTCACTCTCATCACCACTATTTATCATTCTTATTTTTAATATAATAATTGTTATTATTATTGTTATTGTTATCTCTGCAAGTCCTTATCAATGGATCATAATTATTCAGGATGTTATATCCCACCACCCCATGATTTCCACCACCGGACTGATAATTTGGTGGAAATCACCCAGCTTATTATTTATACTACAGTACTTCCAGTTGTTTGTACAGCTGGTATATTCGCTACTTTTATTTGTGTCCTGATTTTTACTCGTCCACAAATGCGTTCCTCCTTGAACATTTATCTAGCTGGCTTATCATTTTTTGATCTGATTCTTCTGCTTGTTTCACTTCTTATTTATCCTCCTATGCAGATTTGCTTGCAAAATAATGTAAGTCTTTGTTTTTACCTTCTCCAACAGTATATATTCATTTAACCATTTGTTTAAAATATGTCATGAATTTGAAAAATGAATACTGTGATTTGTAATGAAAGTAAAATTAACAATCCTGTCTTCATAAATCGTGCCTTTACTCTAAGGCGATCTTCCTCTATTTGAAATAAATCTTGAACCCTATGAATAATTTGTCATTTAGATTTGATTTTCGTACTTCACGAATAAATTTTCAAATGATTAATTAGACATGCTGACCAACTTTTATGCATAGTTTCATCTCAGTCTACAAGTATTGTGCGCATTTTACAATTTTATGTCTGATAATGAATTTCGAATTATGGCTGCAAGTCTCTTTTCGCTTGTACAGGAATTCATTGTGTTGTGATGAAGCTTGAAACAGTAAATATTCGAAATTTATTAGATTCAGCAAGAGAAATGTGCGGATGCATCTCAGTTATTCAATCTGCAAACAATTGTCTGCATTTTTCTAATCAAGTTTAAAAGGTTTGTCGTACAGAGATATGCAACTGCAGTTTCGAAATTCATTTAAAAACACCCGTTTTCATTTTGACTAAAGAGTTGGAAGAGTTAATCGTTTGGTACATCGCTATTTTTAGTTCATATGCAAAACATAACTGAGTGAAAGAAATTTTTTTTGATTTCTAAAAGCAACATTTCAATCCAGTTTCCATACGGTACTCATTAATTTCATCCATAGACATCATTTATATGATTGAACTTTATAATAAATGACATTATTATACGATTAAAATTTGGAAATGTTGTTATATAATACGGGAAAAGAAAGAGCAGCATACCATTGCAAGATTCATTTCATACTTCAAATGAACATAGCTGAGAAAACAATTTTGAATCTTTTGTCATCGCAGTATCTTTCTCTCTTACACTTTATTCTACACTCAAAGTAGTAAATGCCTGTCAGTAGTTGTTTCTAATGCTTTTTCGTAATGCTAATGCTTGATGAGTTTGTTAGGGTTCAAGAAATCCCAACAATGCAGTCGTGAGTTCTTCAGCCATTAACATTTTAATATTGTGATTGGTGTCTGCTGGACTAAAAAAGTAACTGCTGTAAACAAATTAACCTAACTAGATGTGTAAGTAAATAACTAATGTATGATAATTACCAACTTGTATTCTAGTATTCTGAGCTTGCAGTGTATAGTTTTTCTGCACATGAAAGCACATCTTCTATATTTAAGCTAAAATAATTCTCGATTAATGTAAATAGTAGATTGTGGTGTGGATAAAGGCTTGCGTAATTAAAGATTCATTTCCCAAACTTGTTTGGGGAATGAATTTTGCTTTAATTCTTATTTATTCGCGTAAATTAGCATATAACAAATTCTACACTAAGTTTGAGGAAAAAAGTTCATTATAATTTTAAATGTAGTCTTTATGACTTTTGTTTTAGCAGCAAGAATGCAGGAGTGGTAGTTGTTAAAAATATATGTTTATATGAATTTTAAGTGATTTGATCATTAATGTGAATCGCATTTGAATTACACAAAAGTGCATGACTACGATTATATGCTATAAATATACGAGAATATCAAATAGTTAATTACAAATGCAACGTGAATGTGAGAATATGAAGAAATTGTAACAATGTGATTGTCATTATATGAGAGGTTAAACAGATTCAAACAGATAGGATTTTTTTTCAAGATTAACTAAAGATGAATGTTCCTTGGCAATAATCTCAGAAATACTCATAGCTTGCTTTTGTGTTTATGACCTTTTTAAAGCTAACAATCACTCTGGCATTGTTTTTACTAAATAGGAGTCATGAAGACTGTTCGTTTCTGACTGCTTCATTGCTCTTTCGACATGAAAATTTTTTCCATTTAAGTAAAGGAAATAAATATTTAATCGCTCAGAAAAAAATTTCTTTTATTAAAAACTTCTGATCTTAGTATAAACTTTTGTTAACAAAATTAATTCCCCTAATCTTAAATTTCATTAAAATGAATATTTTTTTAATTTACTAAATTTTTTATTCATCTGACTATGATTCCATTAATTTTTTTGAAATTCATATAAAGTCAGAAACATTTAGGACTGAAGGGGATAGACTGAAAAACACATTGTACGATGGATGAAGATAGAATGAAGTATACAAGTGTTTTCCATGATCATAACTCAATGCAAAGCGCTGATTGCCAATTAATATTCCTCTTTAATGTTCAGGTCATTTCTTGCAAAATAGAAGATTCATTTTTTGTACAATACATTGTTCTTGTGAAAAATATTTAAAATAGACAAATAATTGTTGAGAACTTTGTTTTATTTGGTAGAAATTTGGATATTCGAAATTTCCTTAACAAAACTATTGCTAGTAATACCTGTATCAAGATTTAATGACTTAAAACTGTATATATCTGAAGAATCCATCTTTTAACATCTCACGTCACTGATGTGACACGCCTAAATCTTGTATATTTGCAGCTGAAATATGATGTTGAATTCAAAGTGATTATGTAATATATCTGTAAGAATGTCTGTAAAAAAATGTATTTAAATTCATCTTGCAGAAATAAAGTGTAATTTTATAAGTGAATTTTCAATCAAAATAGAAAAAGCTTGAATTGAGGCGAAATTTTCAGCAGCAAGGCATAATATGCGAATTTTTTTGGAAAACAACACTGGTCAGTTATCCGATTTCACTTGCAGCACAAACATCTTCAATTTGGACTTGTGTTGCAATTACTGTTGACCGGTTAATTTTAGCAATCAAATTACTTATTTTTTTTAGAAAAAACTGCAATGAGCACATGCGAAAAACATTTTAAACAAACAGTGTTTCATTTCCCACTAACAGTTTGAAAACTAACATATAAATTGTCATCCCTATATTTTAGCAAGTAAAGTTTATCTCATTTTATGTTATGTTCCTTTACAAGAAAAGCGGAAATTCCTTTTTTTGGCTGAAGTTGTTATCAGTGACATCGCGAAAATGTCAACTTGCCAGTGATTTAATAAAATTTCGAAAAGCTATTATTTCAAAAGTTCACTTTTTTTGAAAACACCATGTAATTTTTTAAATATTTACTACTTGTAACATATCTTGAAATATATGATATGAATAAAAAAATTTTCAGATTCCTCGCAGTGAAATACCCGCTACAAACACGTATGTGGTGTTCAACATCTCGTGCGAAATTGGTCTTATCAGTGATCGCAACTGTTTCATTCGTCTATAAACTTCCATCTTTATTCGAATTAACATTGGATAAATGTGGTCGTTTGATACCTACATCATTGCGCACCAATGGCCTTTACATTGTTTTATACAATACTTACGGTTATTTGTTACTGCTAATAATTATTCCCTGGACAACGATGATCGTTTTAAATATAATCATCATTCGAGCCATACATCAAGCTTATCGTATTCGTCGTTCCCTTGTTAATTGTAGTAATACTACAAATTTGGATGATAAAGAACGTCGCTGTACACTCATGGCTTTCGTAATGATTTCGATGTTTATCATCTGTAACCTAATCGCTGGGATTAATCACATTATCGAGGCATTTTTTGTTGAATATTCACAATTTTTCCGGTTACGTTTACCAGTCGGAAATTTATTGGTATGCGTCAACAGGTGCGCTAATTTTATCTATTTTAAGCTAATTTTTTGCTATTTTATTCAGTAACAGCTGGAGTGTTCTTGAAAATTTCCTTTCATGTTTTTTTCATTATTCACGTACTCGTGAATAGCAAAAAAAATAAAAGCATGAGTAGAAAAGAGTATTCGACAGATAAAAAAGAATATAACTTTCTTATTGGAGTTTTAAAGTAAAATTTATTTGCGAACTTGATAAAAACTGGTTCCTTATATATATATGGTAATTATTATATATTCAACTAGCCTCTAATAAATTTTGCCATATAACCTATGTCGACATTATCAGTCCTGGAATTTATGTATCCTTTAACGTCGTATGCACTAATGCAAAAGCATATGACGAATTAAAAACTTCAAAATAACCGTGATAAACCTCATTTTTAAGATATTATTGATGATACCTTTACTAAAGTATCATAATTTCTGAGCTTTCGAAGCATTTTGAACAGCTTCTAATATTAACTGGTTTCAGTGCTTCCAATATATTCATATACTCTATATTTGGTCGTAAATTTCGACAAATATGTGTAGCTCTGTTGTGTCCATGCATAGCTAATAGCAATTATAAAACGATGAAACCAATTCGTCTGAATGAAATAACGACTCAATTATCGAATAAATTTTCTGATCAAATCACTGAGGTTTATACTTTTTTCTTATATGATGCTATCAATCATAAATATGCAGTCATTTAAGAAAATTATGAATACAGTTGTGGATGACGAGACATTTATTAAACTGAAGTGGTAACATTTTATTAGAAATAGTTTTGTGCAAATGCATTATGCAAACAATATGCGAGTTCTTTTGTCTTTAATTTTTCAGCGAGATTAAGTTCACTATGCATGGTTATTACTTTTACGTCTCACTTGTACTATAGTATGAAAAGTCATCTATCATATGCATACTAATTTGTATGGCATTTAAAAGAAGGAATTTCTTTAGACTAATTTTTCATTCAGTTCACGTATATTTACAATGAATAGATCAAAAGTTTTAGCCAGGCGTTGTGTAAAATATAATAAAATAATTATTTGTATGAACACTATGAAATGTACAAAATTTGATCACTGGTATTACCAAAATTAGATTCAAATTATCAGAAAAAAATGAGGAAGAACTTTGAGAAAATATTGAAATTATGGTAACAACGATTTAAGAATTTTTTATTTGGACAATTTTTTAAGTTATCACAGATGCCTTTTTTTTATGGAAAATGAGAACTGATTTGACAATTACACCATTTATCAAAATTGGGAAGATATATAAAGGTCAAAAGCACAGAGGTTGAATTCAAGAAAGAATTTGTTTTAAAATGCACAAGGAACAAATGTTTCAATAAAAATTTAGTCATTTTGAAAGCTAACACCGTGAAATGTTGCATGACCAAAGTAATGGTGTTTGTAATTTGATATTCAATCTTTGACTGCTTAGTTACAAATTTTGTTGCAGGAATCTTTGAGAAGGAATAAAAATCAAAATTTAATCTTAGATGGCATAAAAAATAATACACGAGAATTGACTACGTCATGCAGTACAGCATTAGTTGAAAATGTTAAATATAACGTTCTTGTGAAATGCAAATCGTATTAAATTTTGTGCTCTTCACATGAAACGAAATCTTTCGACCAAAGCAACAGTAAGAAAATAAAATATATTCATTTTTCGGCACTCCTTTCATGCCAGAAACATTCGATGAATCTTATAGATGAGCTCTATCAATAATTTTAGCTTAAGTAATAAGCTGACAAAAATATTTACGATTGATTGTGGTTATTTTCCTTCGTGTTCATTCATTAGATGGAACATTTGATAAAAAATTGAAACTAGACGTTCATTCATCTAATATTAACAAAGTATTTACAAATCATTGAGATTGAGAAACATAATTGCATTCAGACTTTTTAGAATGACCCGAAGACGTGTCATGAATTAAGAAGGCAAGTGATCATGGCGTTTTTATCGTGAGACTAGCTGTATATGGAACACTGGTATTTGATTTGATCTATTAATTTAATCATGAGACAATTTTAACCGTACGGAGTCATTGGTCGAAAATGTTCCAGACATGACTGAAAGTGTTTGCTTCGGAAGCAGTTTGATCTGCAAATGAAATACGCTAATTATTTGTGTCTTCAAATGCTTTAGTAAAGATCCATTTTTGAGCTGTTATCATAATTATAATTTGTTTATCAATTAGTGATAAAATTTTTCATTCTTTTTGTTGTTTCTTCTCTTTTTGTTTGAAAAGTGGTTGCTCAGAAGAAAAAAAAAACACTACAGAAAACCTGCAGTTAGCTCTGGTGTTGGGATATTGATGTGAATACATTTCATGGCAAATTTCGCATACTCGATCCATAATGATATGTAATTGTTGATCTCTGTGAATGAAACAGCCAGGTTTTTGAGTTGTTGACGTGGTAAAAATCCAAGCATTATGCAAGAAACTAATACATTCCGTAATTAGCGCAACATCCAGAAGAACTACTAGTAATTTAAAACATCCCATCTTAAGTACCGTTAAAATGCTGGTACTGCTGTAACGAGATGTTTCGCACGCTATTTGATTACATTTACCAAAAAAGAGGACGAAAAGGAGTAATATAATCACTCCTCCTCTTTAATGAAGACTATAAAGATGATCACTGAGTTATTTTGGGAATGTTTGGAATGTTTACAAAAGAAATGATTTATGAAGTTTAGTTTGCATCATGATAACTCTTCCGATCACTCTTTTCTGTTGTTTCCTTCATCTTTCAGCCGTTCACCTTACCTTCCTCTTGTCATCTACACTTATATTTGACTCATTATATTATTAATTACTGTCTGCTCAACATTTCGTACTCGCAGCAGTCGTATATACATTTCCATGAACATTAACCATGCACTGAGAAAAATATTCAACTTGTAAAACGTTCTAAATGGTAAAATAGTTTAGTAAGCAACTTCGAACATTACTTTACCTAGTTTACATGTGTATCTCTAACGGTGGTACAGTGCTGATGTTTACTTTTCTATGATGATAATGATTAATAAATACCTGTATCATTATCTCAATATTTTTTGGGTATCCAAAAGCAATGCAAATACATTTTAGGGTTTGAAACAAATATTTTAGTAGTTATGCAATAATTTCGTTTGTCAATAATTGTGAGTGCAGTCAACTATTTCACACTAAATCAGCATGATAACTTGAGTAGCATATATGTTCAAAAATTATTGCTGAAATTAATTTGTTTGCAATTATTATGCTAGTAATGATTTTTCTGGAACGAGATGAGATTTGCATGGTAGCTAGATAGAATCTTGCTCTTGCAAAGCAAGTTGACAGGGGCGGAAATAGTAAGGCTAGTTGGATGAATAAAGGCAATTTGCTATGCTTTTCTATATTTGCCTCCATTAGCCGTCTTGATTTTCTTGCTCCCTCAGGTTGTACAGATGCAATGCCTTGAATTCATGGATATCCTTAACGAATAAAAGAGGCAAGCAAAGCATGACAAAACCAAATAGGCCTGCTATCGGCAGCAGTAACCACTACAACTCACATTCTTGCTTTGCAGTTGCAGTAGCCTTGCATCTTTCGCCTTGCTTACTTATCGCTTGGTGCGTCTTTGAGTGCCAGCATGAATATTTAGTGAGTTTAGTTGATTACTTAGTTGTTGGTTGGTGTGACCAGTTAGTAAGTTATTTAGCTGGTTTTCCTTCCTTTTTACACCACGGCTAACTACACTGACATCACAGCTCATTTTATCACTGCCAGCACAATCATATTACTTATCGCTCATGCCCTCCTTGCCGGTATGTTCTTTTTCACTTTCCTGACGTTGCACATAATTTTATCTCATTAATTAATTTACGTTAATATTTATCCGTTCTTAATAGCAAATAAAACTGTTATTCTATTCACAAAGCAAACAAATTCTTTTCCTGGATGTTTTGCTAAGCAAGGATCAAATCTTCATGCTAAATTCTTCCTGCTCATATATACACAGAAAAACCGTGAGTTGGGTAACAAATGGTGTATGTGCAAGTATAGTGGGCATCTTCTAATTACAATTTCATCCGTTTTATTCACATGCCATTTAAATTCATTTACTGTTATTATTATATATCATTATTTTTGTTAACTATCATTTTGTAACCTTTTCTAACCAATTTTAGTTTATTCTGACTGCTTCCTTCTCACTTTTATCCAAAATATAATAATTCTAGCATTTGCTTCATTGTTCTCGCAATGGTCATTTTTCTTTTCTGTTTTTTGAAATGCATTTTTATGTACTACAGTGATAACTACATTGTGGATTTTTCAAACACAATTTTCTACAACATTCGAGTTTGTCAAAAAGCTCCAACATAATAGCTAAATATTATGCAAAGTTAAATCTCTTCAGCCAAAACTTTATTGAGACATATAAAAACGCATGCAATTGATATCATTAAATGACATGTCTTTAAGAAGTAAAAGAGAAAGAAAGTTCAGTTTAGAATTGACGATACATTCCGAGCATTCTTTTCTTCGTTCCTAAATAATTCTCTGTTATAATGATTTTCAGCTTTGCTACAACTGTTTTCATTAAATACAAGAAGTGTGTAAAATGTTTACAATAGAAAGCGTCATCCCTCATGCTACAGTTTGATCTCATTTGCCACGTTTTAGCATGGAAAAAATGGCACACATGTCTGTGATAGTTAGCAAAAATTTAAGTCTTTCTCCTCACTTATTTTCATTCTAAGAATGTGACCGCAACTCTCAAGTATCATATTTGTTAACTGTATATTATTTAACTTTCCATCGTATATATCTAACACAAATTTTCTTATTTTTAAATATTTGCTAAAAAGGTGCTTTCCAGAAATGTTATGCACTTTTATAAGTTTGCTAAAAATAAGCAGCTATTCTTAACAGTGATTATAATAATTGAGTTCACTAGAAATAGTTGTTGCATTGCTGAAAATTTTTTCAATCTGAGCTATATTTTCACCAAAAAAACATTAATGACACGAAAATATTTGTAATTATATTTACCTAAAGAGATAATACAAATAGCAAAAAAAGAATAAAACTGCACATGTTGGTTGACTACTAATTAAATCGCTGAAATAAAGTTTGCATGCGAGTTTATCAATTAAGATGTGGGAGCAGAGGTCAGATCATCAAATTCGTTACGTCTTGAACCAGCACCTCTTAACAGCAGTCGCTACTTGGTTCGAAAAGGCCAAAAATTTCGAATTTCTTGCATCTGCCAAGAGAAGTCCATAAATTGTCAGTATCTGACGTGGAGGAATGAGTTTGGTCGCAAAATAGATGGTGAATCTTCCAACAGGTAAATGGTGCATTCGTTCTAAACAGTTTTCAAGTCATATTTCTTGACGTAATTGCATCTTAAAATAGTAATTTAAATTTATAAAACTTTGAAAGTACACTTAAAAATAGTAGCATGCCGCAGCTGTATTTGATTTGAATTTGCAAATAGTTCAAATCATGAAGACTTCTGCGTTCTATAAATGAGTTTTTAGCTTATTTACTGTGGAACTGAAAGAACATGGCTCAGGTTACAAAAAATTATCGCTAGTATTCACTCAAATTGCAGAACGCGACACTGGATTTTATAAATGTGTTGCTGAGAATTCGCAAATGATTACGGGCGAATGGGAAATAGAACTCATTGTTCTTGGTATAATAAATTTTATAAAATTCTCAAGGGCAGTTCTGAAAAAATGCGACATTTTTAAGTTTTGTTGCTAGATTGATGCAGAACTGCTTCAGACAAAGTTCGATGGAAGGAAAGCAATGATGTTGTTGGAGGCATGCTCGGAGAATCGTTGACCATCGATTGTGGTGCGACAGGAAATCCACCACCTGAAACACATATTACAAATCACGATGGATTACCTCTTAGTGGTTCATGTCAAATTATACTTTGAACAGTTTTACATCAAACTACATATTCATAGATATACTCGAAAAGAAAAAGATCGCACTGTGATAACTCACACCAGTTTTCAAAAAAAAATATCGACTTTCTGCTGAATTTTTTTTCGCATAAAATATTTTATTTGAGTATAACTTTATACTGCAAATTAAACAATTGTAATGGGGTCAAAGATGAATGAAATTAAATTAATTTGACTTTGTAAATGGACAAAATAATTTTAGAAACTTTATTCATATTTGCTGGAACCGAAGTCACCATTAAAAAACTTACTAAAGAGTACCAGGATATTGCCATCAAATGTTTAGCGGTTCAGGAATTTGCGCAATATGATGTAACTGTTGTAGAACAGCATGAGATTCGACTTGATATCTGGTGTTCGTAGACTTTTTTTTGCAATCAATTTCTTTCTGTAAATCAAAATATATTTTTTGATCTAACATAAAATCATTTTGGTTAGAAATTATTTTAGCATCACCAGAATTCAACACATCATTAGTGGAACGTTTCGTTATTCTGGATCAATTATCAGCAGCAATTTGTTGTAATGTTACACGTTCTAATCCACCTGCAAAGTATTTTCGGTATTTAAAAAATGGTGAAGAATTGCGGAACAGTTCGAAACATGTGATTTCGATTTCTACATCGAATCAAAGTGCCTGTCTCACAGTAATTTACTATCCAAATTTTTTTTAATTGTTCAATTTGTCTTTTTTATTTTATAATGATATTTATGCGATTTATATGCAAACAAAAATTTTCTGAAGTCTTTTGAATATAATTTATCTCCTTTCCAAAAGCTAATTTGTTTCTTTATAAATGAAAATAATAGTTAATACCTTATAAAGTTAATACCTTCGAAGTAAATATGATTAAAATTATTTTAATATGATATTTGCAACAAAATGTGGGTTTCTGGATGACTTCCCTTAAAACTGTAGATATTATCTACAACCGAATATGATTTGGGTGAGTATCGGTGCGAAGTAAGCAATGGAAAATCAAAAGCGCGACAAACCATTGTTGTTAGGGAAGCAAGTAAGCAGCATTTCTCGTTAATGCACTTAATTTTCCAATTTAATCACTTTTCATGTTTTTAGAAAATGTTTATTACAGCACCACCTAGTGAAGTCCGCGTTTCGCTACAAAATGTTGGAATGACTTACGCAGTTTGGAAAATTGAGAAAGCACTGGATGAACAGTTGCCAATACAACGTTATATTATTGAATATATCAAAAAATCTATTCTTGATCAAGTTCGTCATTTTCAATTTTGAATAAAGTTATGCCATTGATAAGATAAGAAAATCTTCCCAATGCTGTAACTTTATTTTGTTTTTGATGGTTACCAATGAATAAGTCAGTAACTTAATAATTCGTAAGTTTTCTTGTTTTAATTACTTCATAACTTTTGAATTTAGGGTCATGATCGAAATAATGAAGATAACCGTATATGGTTCACTCATGCCATTAAAATGGATGTACATCTGAGTAAGTTTTAACATTTTCATCTTGTTGTATTTTGTTCCCAATGATGAAATTATTTCTGAATAATTAAATTTACAAACTACGGATGACAATATAATTAAACAAATAATGTCACATAGATTAATGATACATGCAAAATAACAATTAATTATCATGATTTAATTTACTTAAGATGAGGATGGATTATATGAAATTGGTGGACTACATCAAGGAACAACATACATATTCAGATTTACGGCTGAAAATGAAGCCGGAACCGGAGAAACTGTTACTGTAACGATGAAGACAACATCAAAAATCAGACCCTCTAAACTTTCATCATCTGGTTCATCAATTTTTCAAATTTTTACGACTATTATTTTATGTTTTCACGCTTTCAGATTTATGCTAATTCCCTGAAAATGCAGTAGCATATGAAGACTGGCAAATTTACAGTCGTTAGCTTAACATATTTTAAAGATAACAATTAAAAAGTTACTTTCATGTTGAATACTTACTTTGATAAAACGAAATTAATTCGGTGAAAAATTACATCTTTAAAATATGTTACTTGCAATCATCATGTGATATTAAAATATGGCATGTTTTTGTATGGGAGTTCACTCTTTACTTCAAATTTAAAATGTAGTACTTCTGAAAATATCACTCTGTAATGTATTGTGTTCCATTTTTTATCAGCAATTAATTATTATGTATTTTCATTACGAATTCGTTGCCAACAAGGCTTTCTTTGTAGTAAAAAGAATTTGATCATTTTTATGCTTTCTTGTTATACAGCAAAATATTCAGAACGATAAGCAACCAATGTCTCAATGAGAAATAATAATTTTCATTTAAGATTTGATTACCATTGATCTCATTGCACTGAAAGATCATAGACAATTATTACAACTCGTTATGGCATAAAGAAACGTTTTGTGATGATACAGAAAATGTTATCATGTTAATTAAAGTCAACTTATTCGCAATATTTTAAAGTCTGATCAGCTACAAAAAATGAGAAATTATAATGCACAATACTTACATTACATAATACTAATTAGCTGCCGTTCTCAACAGTCATATAGTTCTCGACAGCAGAGCAAGAAATAAAAGGAAGATGAATAAATGATTCCTAGTGTCGTTAAAAATTATAAGTCTGAGTGAACGTTGGGATAATGTAAAATGCTCAGTATGAGATAAATTGGAGCACACGTCGACGAGAATGAACAATATCAAATTTGAATTACTATGATGTACAGCTGTGACTAATATTACGACTTTTTGTGATATATACTTTAAAATTATGTGTATGAAATAATTAAACACTTTAGATAATTTACTCCTTACTTTACTTCACTTCTGCTCTTTCTTTTTCAAATTAAACATGTTTTTGATGAATTCTATAGATAAGTTCACTAAACTTCATTGAATTCAACGTCTAAATTGTGTACACTATTATACAATAACAAAAACCAACTCATGAAATTTATTCTTAAAAAAAATGAACTGCATTCTGAAGACGACTAACGCCACCTCGTGATAAATAATTAGTTAAAGCTTCTCATTTCGAAAGTTAAAAATTGCTCTTCATCAGCTTTCAATGGCAATTGTATCCCCTAATATTATTTCACAGGAATTGTATTAAGCACTTATATATATGGTTTTTAGCACGCTTTAAAATGGTAAATAAAATGCAATACATCTTTCAAAGGAAAAAAAATGAACAAACCATCACTAGATGTGACTACATATGTTTCCAACTTTTATTACACAGTAATCTTATATTTCTTACTAGTAATTAAATCAAGCTAAAAGCATTATACATGGCATCTTCAGTAACCAAAAATTTGCGACTGCTCAATTTCAATAAAAATAACGCGCATGACCAAATCAGATGAAAAATAACCCTCATTCATTGGAACGTTTGACTTTTTTTGTGTTCTCATTAATACATGGAAATAAAAAGCACACACCATCTTGTTTGTTAAAATACTATACACAATAAATGCGAACACAAGTTGTGGAATGTATTCAAGAGAATGATAATGTAATTTGCTTCGCAGAAACTATATCGAGCAAAAACGTGATCGAAAGCAAAGATTGAGTATCTCAAAATTCTAACAGCAACACTACTGCATTTGCAAGCGTAAAAATAAACCGGAAATTAACAGAACTGATTCAAGCTTCCAGCTTCAGTTTTGAACTAGTACAATATGATTTTGAAACAGATTAGGATACCTTGTTCAAATACACACACAATACTCTTAGAGAAATGCCAATATTGTAGTGTGCATTATCAATAAAGTGATGGCCATTTACTGTTCAATTGAATGAGCGATTTAGAAAATGAAAGTACTTTGCATAAAAGAAGTGCTATTTAGCTAATAGCTGAAGTCATCAAAGACCAAACCATCTATATCGAAACACCAAAAAAGGATCGGAATTAATTAATTCAATCGTAAACAGACAATAGTTTTATTAGGCAATATTTCTAGTTTTAACTGATGCAATGTAGCAAAATGTATTTTAATCACCGAGAAAGTTTTGCAATTTTTCGATTAAATGCGTTGTTATCTCTTTTCAAAAAAAGTGCAGAATGCAAGAAAGAGCAAGCTATATGTGTTTGGATTTGCATCTGCCTTATTCATTTTTCACTGCTATTGGGAAAAACGAAAATCAATTAAAATTGAACTAGTATCCCTGATAACTTCTTGATATATCTACCGGTGATTCAGCTGTATTCAGTGCAGTAAAAGGAGCATTTTGATATGCATTGTTGTCACCATGTCCTAAAATATTGTTCTGTAATCAAAAAGTGAATACAATTTTTCTGCTTAAACGAGAGTTATTGATATTACCTGCGGAAAGTGACTAGACTTTTTCCTAGAAACAATTTCAAAGATTCATGCATTAAATTAGCGCTATACTTTTACTGCATAACAAAATTACAGATTTATATTTTATTACTTTGCAATTTTTAAATTCTTCTTACAAATAATACAGTTTCTACTCCAAACAATTAACTCACCAATCGCGCCAATGTCGCTGTCTCCTCCATAGCTGTAATCTGGTCCAATCTGCACTTCATTAGTGAAATCCTGTTCGTATGATGGCACAAAATTGGTAATAACTCCTTCTTCATATCGTCGCCACACAAAAAAGGCTGCCCCAATCTGAAACCAAATCGATATATTTTATGGACATTTTATTTAAAAAGTCAGTTCAATCAAAAAATTTGCATTAAAATAAAACTATTAGCCTAATAGTGAACAGAAGACAATAGTGACTTTTCAATTTCCCCATGCAAACTTTGAGTAAGAGTAACACACATGGAACAACTTGCTCTACTGTAGTAATAAGCAGAAATACCCAAGCAATAAACGAAAAAAGCGCAAAAAAAATTGCGCTCTTGGCAGTGCCACCGTCGTACGGTTCACTTATGTCAAGCTCACCATATTTCGACCACAGCGTGAAAAATGTTATCAGGAACAAAGATGCAAAAGATGCTGAAAAAAAATAATCACTTGATCTGATCAATCCACAACGCGTTAACTTTAAGCTAACTAGAAATATCTGTATAATATTCCAAATGTCCAAATTATTATCATTCTTGTTGTGATACCTAAATACTTGCAATTGTTCTATAAACTTTTCCTGATACCTCACGTGAGAACGCTATTACAATGGAAGCAAGCATATTATTTTCTCGAGATAAATAAAGATGAAAGCTGTAATTACAACAGTATTTGTATCTTGTAAAAGCTACGGAGTTGTAGAAATTGTATTATATTAGAACTAATTATTCTCTCGAGATTAGCTTTTCAGTTATTACCTAAGAAAATGATATAATAAAACAATGAGATTCAAAGGAAAGATGTCGATTTTTGCAAACTAACAAACCGGAAATGGTCAAGTCAGTTACAACCGCTCGTTTTCTAGACGGAACTGAACTGATCTTCTCAAATTTGGCATCTAGAAACAGCAGACCCAATGCTCCAAGAATAGCAAAGAATCCCATTGCTGAACCAAACGAGCAAGTGGAAGAACTCTTGCCATAAAGGCAAATTTCCCCACTACCATTTTTAGGCACATACCAACCACCACCGGACACAGCAATCCACTGTGCAAGCCCAAACACCTATGTTTTCTCATAATTATTTACGCAGATCAGATTCAGATTATTGAATTCTTATAAAAAAGCTTCAATATCCCAACTAGCATCAGCAATTCAAGCAACTCGATCATTATGGCATGGAAAAAGATGCATAATAATCTTAACATAAGCAAAACAAACTATCGCAATGATCCGAAATATAACTGTCGGCTTCCTAAGGAAAACACCAAATTGAAATCGTCCACCAGCCATGCCAGCACCATATGCTCGAAAACCTTCCATACTGTTCACTACAAGTTTATTCGTATCAGTGATCATTCATCTCCCCTGCAGTTCCATTAGTACTATTTCCATTTCGAAGAAATATTTGCATTAAATACAGCATCATTTGCCTAATTCTGATTTCTTGCACAAGGTAATTAAATTATAGTCTTTTGCTTACACAACCACAAGACGTTAATAGGACACACAAAGTTAAACGATATTTTACAGAAAAAATAAATAAAACCCACAAAGTTGTAGTAATTTGTTTGATATGAAATAAAGCTGCTGAAGGTAATTGCAAACTACAAAAATAAGACTGAATCAACGAAAAAGACATGAGTTTTGTGTACAAAAAATACAAAATTCAGAAAATTTTACGTCAACAATTCTTCATAAAAAAGCAAATACTTCAATAAAGCAACTAATTTCAATGCTTACTACTTTCATACATAATAAAAGTAAACACACACATATAATGGTCAGTTATTCTTTTACTTGCACTGCTTTGTGTCAATTAGATCAAAATTCTGCTTGAGTAAAAGAAGGAAATATGGAAGTAGACAGTGAATGAATTAAACAATAGACATCCTCGAAAAGATTGACAAAAATAAAACATAAATAAATCTATCTCTCTTCCTTACAAGCTCATCCACTGCCCGCAAGTAAAGGACTAAGAGAAGCACATATTGCCAGAAATTGATCAAAATGAGCTTTCGAAAAAAGTAACGTCATTAGACTTCCATGAAAGCTTCCACTCTATTACGTCTAACTTCTCTTTCTCTATGTGCACCAACAAATTTCACATTTTACAAATACTTTAGTTAGCTTGCTGCTGACCTTATTAC